TGAGGCAGCCGTGTGTGCTCCTTGCAGACACAGCTCGGGGAGGAAAAGAACTCATCGCGTGTTTTGTTTGTTACCTTGCTCTGAGAGGAAGCCGACGGTGTCTCTCATCACCACAGGAACTGGATCGCCATCTGGATCCCTCTGTCTGAGCCTGACACGCACATTAAAACAACAAGCAGATTCAGAGGTCTATTTTTCCTTTATCTGGAAGCTTCTCTCACAGGGCCGTGTCTCTGAATCAGCACTTACAGCGTCAGTGGCACACCAAACACCTGGCTGGGGAGGGGAGGGCTGTGAGGAGGAGACATGGGGGGCTGCGTGGTGGCTTTCAGAGATGCTCTTAATTTGTTGTCATACCTGGCACACAGACAACGGGAGATATTAAAAAGTAACTCAGGGTTTCACTAAACTAAACCACAGAATGGAAGCAGTGCAGCAGTGAATCAACTCCATCAGTGGCAGCTTTTAAAAAGCGTTGTGCATGAGCAGAACAACCACAGGAAGCATTCCCAAAGAAGACGCACATGAACAGGATGCAATGATGATGCTTAAAGTGACAATAATATGTGGAAACTGAGATTTGTCATCGTTTCCTGAAAACACAAACGCATGCTGACTTTAAATCCAGAAAGCTGAGATGGAGAGGGAAAATGTTTGGATGTAACAATTCTGCTGGGAGACCAGCAGCTGTGCCAGTGTGGGCTACATCGACGTGCGCTGCACGGGGTATTTGGATTGTGATGAAGCCACTTTCAGTAAGATAATACCATCCCACTTCCTGTGTTTGTTCCAACATGCCACTCTCAAGGAGTTCAAACACTTTCAACACTACAACCGCTCTCCTCACTTCTCATGCACACGGATAATAAGACGGAGGCGGCATTTAACCTTCAGTGAAACGTGCTGCTGCCATCGCTCAATGAGAAGACTGAATGAAAGGCACACATCTGACGTTTGGCAGGAACACTTACTCTCTGACGCGGGAAGGAATGACCAGCTGATCGCACTTGACCACGTCCTCCAGCTCGCTCAGATAGCTCACGTAGTTGATCTTCCTGCCAAACTTAAAGCTGAGAGAGAGAAAAC